GCTGATCTCTGTGTTGCAGAGGTTTGTACTAGAATATTTGGGGTTAAGATGACCTATTTTGGTAACCTAAAGCAAAATGCTATATTCAAGCACACTGGTCTCCATGTTGCCCCCAAGCTCTTGCAATGAGTCACTGAGGATGAAGAGTGCTTCTCGGCTGTCACGGTTCCCAGCTCTAATGCCAGACCACACCACTTCTGAGGCAAAAGAGACATTTCTTCATCTCTCTTTGCTAATGGCCATAGCTCTGAAGCACGTAATTCAATAAGAAAGATGGAAATGGCAGCCAGAAAATGCTGACTGGCTCCACATGCTTTAACAATACTTCCTACAGAGTAGGATTAACCTTTTCCTATCTAGTCTGTATCTATTAGTAAAGCTGTAGTTTCAGAAATGGGCATTTCCATGACTCTATTCAAGAGCTGTATTCCTCTTGGGGTTTTGCTCCAAATGTCCACAGGTTTAGGGGTTTGTTTATTTGGTTTTACTTTTGCTTCCCAAGTAAGAGTCAGGAGATGAATACAAGAGATGAGCCATTCTCTTCCAGTGGGTGGAAGGCCAAACATTTCTCTTCCAAGAGGCTGAGCGTATCTATATATGTGTATCTGTATATGTGTATACATGTATATGTATATTCCTTGATGGGATACGGAATATCTATGTATGTGTATCTATATATGTGTATATATATATGTGTATGTGTGTGTATTCCTTGATGGGATGCAGAATTTCTCTTTCCTGACCAAACTGTCTTATCCCGATACTTTGTAGGTACTGTAGCAATGCTACACATTGTATGTATAGATAGCCCATTGCTGTTGCATGTGTGTTTTATTTGTTTCTATATCAATTTAGTTATTTGTTTTTTCTCCACATCAACTTCAGCACCCAAACATCACCACAGGTTTCCTGTCTGATATGTTTCTCTCTACCTGGGGCCATTTCCTGCTGAGCTTGCCTGTTCTTCTCAAGCCATTCTGAAATGCCTCTCATGTAGGCTTGATCCATTGGAGGACATGCTTTGCTAGGAGCTGTCTGCACTTGCTCCTTCCTGACCTTTTATTTTCAGTGCCCTGTGCATATATATCAGTCAATTCTTCTAAGAAACCTTGGTTTGGCAGCTGTGAGCTGACATCCCCTCTCCCTGTGGCCAAAGAGGGATGAATCTGGTTACATAGAGGGGTTGGAGGGTCTGACTTCTCCATGGCTGTGAACTGTTCAGGACAAGTAGTTGCTAGGAGAAGGCTGCACAGTACTGAGGGCAAAGATAGTGGCTCTGCCTTCATTAACAACAGTTCTTTATTGTGTCATTTGGGGAACAGATCAAAGTATTTACTGGTACAGTCTCTGTAGGATTTTTCACTGCCTGACCTTCTTCCACTGCTAAAGCTGTTCCCAAATGTTCCACTAGCATCTCTGCTGAGCTGGCTGTGTAAATGAATTTATATCTGTCCCTCCAGCTTCAACACTTCTCGTGTCTCTCTGTTATTTCTTCATATCAGTATCAGGTGGTTTAATACCAAAGGAAAGGCTTTCTCCAAGCAAAGGCTCTTTCCAGGATGCTCAGGATGGCCTGTGCTGAGCTTACAGGCCCGTATGACCATTATCCTAAGACACAGCCCATGAAGAGTAGGTAGGGGGCATTGTCACCCTTCCACTGATGACTCAGTAGAGCAGAATTCCTCTCCTTCACCCTCTCTGTCCCAGAGAGTTATTTAAGTAAAGCTCCTGAATTCCCATTGGCAGGCTGGCTGGGTTTTCCATCACCAGCCTACCTTGCTAACTGTATTTGATGCTTAAGATCCCTCAACAAACATCAGGTGGTGATTATGTCAGTTGCTTACAAAGCAGCAACACAAAACTGGTCCATGCTATGCTTGCCAAGCAGAAGGAAACACTTCAAGCCTGCCTGACAGAAAGGAGAACTGTGGGTCAGAAGTGATGGCAATGAGCAGGATTTGCAGGGAACAGCGTGAGCTGGAAGAGGTTGGAAGGAGCCAAGAGGGCATGAGGTCGAGTTACGCTTTGGGCACAGAGATGTTTTGCTGTACCATTGGGTGCTATCCCCTGTGTACTCTCTTTAGCATCTGGGATCTTCTCCTGTTGCTCCATTTTTCTATGCTTGGAATTTGCAGCAAGTACTAAGTGTTGGGTTCTGTGTGCTATGGTGACTCCACAGATTTTCATGCAGAGAGATGAGTGCCTTAGACTTCATAATATCACATCAGTAACTGTAATAATGTGGAGTGTCTGCCAACACGCAGTCTACAATCTCACACTAAATAATCCTGATACATGAAAAATCTTGGATACCAGATTTCCAAGTATTTATGTAGCTATGATACACAAGCAAAACAGCCATGGAATGATTCACTGTTTGGGCTAGATGGCCTAATGGTTTCTCTGGGAGAGAAGGCAGCTCTTGCAGAGAGCATTCTTGTCCAGAGAAGCTGCCTAATTTCCACTTGCTCACTGCAGCCAACCACCCAGGCCTGTCTTTGTGGTGCTTGGGTAGCACTCAAAGTGATGCTGGCACTGTAAGCACTTGCAGTCCCAGAGGCAGGAATGTTTGGTGGTGGCCCTGCAGCTCCAGCTGTGGCTCACAGCTTCTTTGTCACCAGAGAACACCAGTCACGGAGCAGACTGCAACCCAAGATGAGGAGGTAGCAGCTTGTTGCAGGTCAGAGCGTGGGGTGGAAGTTCCCTCTGGTGGAGGAACAGGCCCGGTACAGAGAGAAGAGGGCAAAATCGTAGAGTCATAGAGCAACATGGCCATGTGGATGCTCCCTCTAGAAGATAATGTTGTAGAGGTGCTGAAGGACTGGAGTATTGGTCGATGAGAAATGTAGCATGAGCCGGCTTCAGTGTGTGCTCACAGCCCAGAAAGCCAACCGTATCCTGGGCTGCATCAAAAGAAGCGTGACCAGCAGGTCAAAGGAGGTGATCCTGCCCCTCTACTCTGCTCTTGTGAGACCTCACCTGGAGCATTGTGTGCAGTTCTGGTGTCCTCAACATAAAAAGGACATGGAACTGTTGGAACAAGTCCAGAGGAGGCCACGAGGATGATCAGGGGACTGGAGCACCTCCTGTATGAAGACAGGCTGAGAAAGTTGGGGCTGTTCAGCCTGGAGAAGAGAAGGCTGTGTGGAGACCTCAGAGCAGCCTTCCAGTATCTGAAGGGGGCCTATAGGGATGCTGGGAAGGGACTCTTCATTAGGGACTGTAGTGATAGGACAAGGGGGAAGGGATTAAAACTTAAACAGGGGAAGTTTAGATTGGATATAAGGAAGAAGTTCTTCACTGTGAGGGTGGTGAGGCACCGGAATGGGCTGCCCAGGGAGGTTGTGAATGCTCCATCCCTGGTGGTGTTCAAGGCCAGGTTGAACAGAGCCTTGGATGACACAGTGTAGTGTGAGGTTTCCCTGCCCATTGCAGGGGGTTGGAACTGGATGATCTTAAGGTCCTTTCCAACCCTAACTATTCTATGATTCTGTGTCTGTCTATAGTTGCAGCTTTAGCTGGGTAGTAGGGGTGCTACATATCTACATCCTAACTACAGATGATCCCATTGTGGAGCTGAGCAGGAGAAAGGAAGTAGGTAAGGACTGGATATTGCAGGATGATCATGGGGATGGGCAGGAGTCTGAGGATGTCTGTGGCCAGCTGGGGCTGGACAGGTCTGAGATCAGCTGCTGCCTCTGCTGTCTCTGGTTGGAAATGATCAATCTCTCCCTATAAGAGCTCCTCACAGGTGACTCATGATACTTGAGGGAATTTCAGCCTCTCGCAGCTCTGCTGTCTCAGACTGATGGGGACAGATTTGCTGCAGAAGCACAGTCCTAGAAAAGAACAATTGTTGGGCATAGAGGCAGGGATCCACCCCTCCAGTGTGGCTGGAGCCCTGGCCCTAACACCTGAAACCACTGATTGCTCCATGGAGCAGCTTCTGAGTAAACCTCAGGGCTGGTTTCACGGTGGCAAGTTTGAGATTGAAGGGTTGCCACAAGACTAAAATGAATTCCCATTTCTGTCAATTGTCACATTGGGCATGTGCCAGTGTAGTAAAGGAAAAGAAGCAGAACCTAAAGGAAGCTCAGGGCAGAACCACATGCAGATCAAGCCAACATTGTGGATGAACCCCTGTCCTCAGTGAAGTGGTGGACACTGTTAAGATTTGACTGGACAGGGTGCTGGGACATCTGCACTAGGTCATGCTTTGCCAAGGCAAGTTGGACCAGATGACCCTTAAGGTCCTTTCCAACCTGGGGTTCTATGATTCTGGGATTCTATGATTTGTTGTTTTGCATGCGGGCAAATGCTGCTTGTGGACATGAGATTTGCCAGCTGTGAGACCCCTAATGAAAACCAGCATGGAGGAGAGATGGCTAGGTCTTGTCACTGCCATTGACGGGGATCCACCTGGATTGTGTGGCTCACACCCTTGTCTGTTGTGTTGGGAAGCTTTGGGGTGTGGAGAGGAATCCATTCTCTTCCTATATATCCAAGAAGCCCATGGACACTACACCTTAGCTTTGCCCTTGCATTGGTACAACAAGGGGTAATGGGTTAAAACTTAAACAGGGGAAGTTTAGATTGGGTATAAGGAAGAAGTTCTTTACTGTGAGGGTGGTGAGGCACTGGTGCAGGTTGGCCAAGGAAGTGGTGAATGCTCCATCCCTGCCAGCGTTCAAAGCCAGGTTGGACAGAGCCTTGGGTGACATGGCTTAGGGTGAGGTGTCCCTGCCCATGGCAGGGGGGTTGGAACTGGATGATCTTAAGGTCCTTTCCAAACCAAACCATTCTATGACAGGAGCAGTCTAGACTGGGTTGGCTTCGTGTCCTGCAGGGCTATGGTGGTCCAGCCGCCGCCCTCCCGTAAGGGGAAGGATGGATGGATGTCGCTGGGGAGGCAGGGAGCGCCGGGGAAGCATCTCCTCATCCCTCCTCCTCCTCCTCCCGCAGCGCCGAGCACCGGGGCGGGCAGGGGGAGAGGCGGCCGCGGGCCCTGCCCAATCTCCGCGGCCGGGCCCGGTTGCGCGTTGGCTGCCGGCGGCGGCGCCGCCAGTGAGGCTGCGCTGAGGCTGCGGGGCCGGATGGCCGAGCCGCCCGCCCCGCTCACTCGGGCGGCGGCCGGCGGCGGGCGAGGAGCCGGGGCGAGCCCTCCCCAGCGGGAGAGCCGAGCCCTGCGGCACGCAGCGCCATGGTCTCATGGATCATCTCCAGGCTCGTGGTGTGAGTAAGCTGCCGGCCGGCACCTGCATGCGCCTGTCTGCCTGTGCGTGTGTGTGTGTGTGTATGCATATGCATGTCTATATGTCCATGTCTGTATGACCATGCGCTGCCTGGTCCCGCTCACCCGCGCTGTGAATACGCGGTGCTAGCGGCTGCTCGGCTAATTTTAGCCGGTTGTTGTTAGGGATGTGGCGCTCGGCTGCTTTTGGTGGGAGAAAATAGGTGGGTCAGGCGGTGTTTGCCAGCGTGGGGGCATTCCCAGGGGATAAAGCAAGGTGACAAGGGAGGAGGAGGAGGATGGTTGGTACCGCGCGGTGATGGAGGGGCTCGGGGTCAGGATGGAGGGGACCGAGCATCTGCGGGGGGGAAATGGAGGTGGGTTTGGGCAGCGGCGCTTTGTTAGCGGGGCTCGGCGGGGACTCGCGAGGGGGCGCGGGAGAGGCGCTGCGGGGTCTCCCCTCGCTGCCGCCTCCTCTCTTATTTTGGGTAAAGAAACCCCCAAACCCGTCCTTCCCTCTTGGCACCTTGCTGTCCTCTCAAAACCTGGGCTCGGTTGCTCTCTAACCTTTGGGGAGAAGCGTGTGGCGCTCTGCGCTTGTCCTGCAGCCTTTCCCATGGCTGTAGGTGGGAACGCATGTAGAAATCCCTGGAAATTCTTCCCAGGCACCAGGGGAAAAATGGAGCGAGCTCGAGGTTTATGTTCGTGTGCCGCACCTGAGAAGAGGTTCAGTGGGAGAAGAGCATTTCTAATGGCACTAGGGAAAATTCCTGGGGGAGGAGGGAGGGAGTTGAGGCTTAAGGTGGGGCAGCAGGCTGGCTGCTCTGTCTCCATGCTGGAAGCGGGGCTGGTCAAGGTTAGTGCACTGAATCACATGAATCCTTTGCCAGTTTCCTCTGCCCTGCTACACAGAACTGCAGACCGAGGAGAGCATGTGTTGTGCTCTTAAGTTATTGCAGAGGGGCTGCGAGGGCCTGTAGCTTTCTTTGTCTCAAAGCAACATGCCATGATGTTGCACCAGCAGCATGGTTCCAGCAAGGCATTGTCAAGGTCTCCTCTTCTGCTGTATGAGATGAAACATCATAAAGAAAGCTCACCTTGGTCTAAGCCATGTCTCTGTGTCACTGAGACATCAGGTGGCTGTCGGATATGAATATCTGGAGGGGCTCCAGAGTTGTATTCAGCCCCTGGAGCTGTTATCACCTGGATTCAGCTGCAGTGTCACTGGGTTTGCACTTCAGTATGGGGAGGCATGTTAAATATTTCAGTGATTTAATTTGACCAGTATAACTGTGCAGGTGTCTCTGATAGCAATGGGAGATGAGTTGTCCAAGGCTGCTTTTCTTTCTTTACTAGTGTTATTTCCACTTTGAAACAACCTGTCATCACATAGCCCAGCTCATCCTCACCAACAAAGAAGTCTACACAGAGACAGTAGCTTAACTTCCTTGCTTTGACACACAGGCACATGTATGGGTGATTTCACCGAAGACACATGGACTGGGTAAAAACCTGGTAGGGGCAGTTCATAGAGCAGTTGATATCTGTAGTCAGGAATCAGCTGAACATAGAAACCTTCCTGTTCCCTTCAGCTTTATGTATCTGAATAGCATGTCACAGTGTGAAATCAGCTGTGTAGAAGGTGGTACCAGTTATTTGTTATGCTAGAATTTTAAGAGCAAATAACATTTTGGATATACGGTGTAAGTATGAATCATTTAGTAATCATAGTGATGATTGTAGAAGAGTTTTTGCAGGAAACCTAGGGCAAGCCAAACTTCATCGCCACTCTTTGCACTGCTGCTTAGTACCATAGAATCATCGAACGGTTTAGGTTGGAAGGGACCTTAAAGCCCTGCCATGGGCAGGGACCCCTTCCACTAGAGCAGCTTGCTCCAAGCCCCTGTGTCCAACCTGGCCTTGAACACTGCCAGGGATGGGGCAGCCACAGCTTCTCTGGGCACCCTGTGCCAGCTTTCACAGGGAAGAGCTTTCCAGTGTCTAATCTCAGTCTCCCCTCTGTCACTTTAAAGCCCTGAGGGAGCTCAGTTGGGCTTCAGCTTTCCTAACCTTTAAGAATGTTTTGCACCAGGAAGTGCTGGTTTCTTATGATCCCAGTAAGAAACGTGGACTCTGTAGAGTATTGCTTGAAACCCCATTTCCTAGAGCCAACATTACACCAAAAAAGAGGAGCGTGTATATAATCTTACATCGCATCAGATGCTGGAAAGCCTAACAAGACAAACAAAGGCAGTCAGGTGGTTTCTTGCTGGTGACCAGTGAGCTTCATCCAGGCTCCTTCCTTACTATTAACCAGCTGAGTTGGTCCTACACCAGGAGGTATATGCAGCACAAAGGAGGGCAAGAAAAGACAGGACAGCACAGCACAGACCTGCTCCCATTCAGGTTAGCTCTTAGGTGCATCGCTGAACTCCTTGAGTACTGTGGTCTTCACATTAGGATCATGACAAAGATTTAGCTTCTCTAATCCCATTTTGAGTCACTAGTTGATGCATCAGCACAGATAGCTGTGCTATAAGCACAGTGCCCAGCTGGTTGGGCTTTTTTCCCCCCTGCTCATGCTTATTTAGCTGCTTTTTCATCAAATCTTGTTAGCTGATAAGGATTATGGGGAATGTGGTTTGGTTTCATCACACGGTGGATATTGCTTTGTGCTCTTCTGCTGATCTCTATGGGGTTATGGCTGATATGACTCAGCTAATAGGAAGGGCTTTAAAACAGAAGGCAAACCTTTGCTTTGGCTCTTGGGTGCTTTGTTGCTTCTGCTGTCTTGGGTTTGGTTCTTACTGTCTCTGTCCTGGCACTTTCTAGTACCAAATTGTTGCTGACGGAGAGGAGCCTATGAGCACTTCTCACCCACTTCAGCAGGAAATCGCTGCAGACCTCTTCCATCATTTCAGCTGTAGTGTCTGGGCCTTGTGTTCATGCTGGAGTGCTGGCTGGTGCTGTGTTGCCTGGGACCCCCACTTCAGAGCAGCACCTTGTCCTGCCACAGCTGTGTGATAAAGTCAAAGACTTTATTATGTCAGGACCTGTACAAACCTGAAACAAAAAGATAATCCTGTCCCTGTATAGTTCTCCTTTAAGAGCTCAGTTCTCATCCTCCTGTGGTGCAGGGGGGTTTTCTCCCTTACCTCAATGACAGCAACATCAGGATGTTCTTCTTCTCATGGTAATAGGTTACAGGTGACTTTTCCACCAATGGGTGTCTCTGATCACTGTAATTGTTGCATCAGGTTAAAGAATTCTTTCATTCTTCTTTGGTTTTATTTGGGTTTGGAGTTATTTGTTGCTTGGTCTCTCCCAGTTACTGCAATGGGATCACATCCTTACTCGTGGCTTAATTACAGCCTCTTTTTTATCCATCATCTGTGAGTACATCTCAGAGGACATCCTGGCACACCTGTATCTCGGTTTGCTCCTCTGGGAAGTGTAATGAACTGTGCTGAATTCATCTTCCCTGAGACACACCAGAAGGGATCAGTGGCATGTCCTGCCATCTACAGTTCACTGCTGTTCATTCCAAAGGAGATTCTTTCTTGCTTCAAATGGTAGAGACCACTCTAGCAGAAGGACTTGGGATTTGTCTTCATTATTGGAGTCCAATTTGTCTACAGTGCACAGCACTGGCATTCCTAGGTGGTTACTGCTCTGCTATACCTCTTGGCTGTTGTCTAAAAGCATTTTGAGTTAAAAGTGGTATATATAGAGAGTTACAGAATGGTTTGGGTTGGAAAGGACCTTAAGATCATCCAGTTCCAGCCCCCCTGACATGGGCAGGGACACTTCACACCAGACCATGTCACCCAAGGCTCTGTCCAGCCGGGCCTTGAGCACTGCCAGGGATGGAGCATTCACAGCTTCCCTGAGCAACCCATTCCAGTGCCTCACCACCCTCACAGTAAAGAACTTCCTTAGATCTAACCTGAACTTTCCCTGTTTAAGTCTGAACCCATCACCCCTTGTCCTGTCACTACAGTCATAGAATCATAGAATAGTTAGGGTTGGAAAGGACCTTAAGATCATCCAGTTCCAACCCCCCTGCCATGGGCAGGGACACCTCACGCTAAATCCCTGATGAAGAGTCTCTCTCCGGTATCCTTGTCAATGCAGCCTATTGCATTTGCCTGAAATTCCTATTCTTTTCCCACAAACATGGAACTTGCTCTTTGTGCTTGGAGCAATGCAGAGCAAAGTACAGATTTTGGCTCCAATTCTGACAGTTCGGCACTGTGAAAGCCTTTTCATCTGCACTGTGTGGCAGAGGAAGGAGATGTCAGTAGAAATGAGGCTGGATCAGACGGGTCATCAATAGTTGACATGATTCTGCATGTCTTGGGCAGTTGAATTCTTGCTGTGAGGAGCTTCGGAGTGCATTGCGGATTACTACAGAATGGTTAAACAGGATGAAAACCCACAGCCTTAATGATGCTTTTTCGCCTGTATTTGTTTTCTTGTAAATCAAATCATCAGTAATGGCCTGTCTGTTCTCTCATGGTTTGATGTAAAGTGGGGTGGCAGCCTCATTTATGAGCATATAGGGAATTCCCAGCCCTGTGTGGAAGTAACAGGGATTTACCAGAGGTAATCTGTTTTCTAGGTGCCACTGGGAGTGGGTAGGTCTGTCAAAGCCAAAGAGGAACCAAGGAATTATTTAACCTGATGAGTGAGGTTTCTTCCCCTGTCACAATTTGTCAGCTTTCTCTTTCCTCTTTTCCATTTCAGAGAAACTTAGCACATCCTTCCTGCTCCTGTGTGTGTATGGCAAACCTGGAGAGATTTATGAATGAAAAAACCCACCCCAAACTCCATATAATAGATACTATATGATGGCAGAAAATAACTTGCATCCTCTTTCTCAGAGGCAGGCAGGGACAGGAGCTGCTCAAGCAGGTGAAGGCATAGGAGAGCCCAGTGCTTTGGTCGTTGGAATGTCAGTGTTTCAGTTGTTACACACCACGTGTGTGAAGGTCCCTCTTCA